CGCATCCTGCGCTATGTGGCCAGGACAAGAGGTTGAGGTGTGAGATACTGCGCAGAGAGAGGAAAGGAGAAGCTTGAGCTAGTCGGCTACAGTGATAGTGACATGGGCGGTGACGTTGATGATCGTAAGAGCACAAGTGGGATGATTTACTTCCTCTCAGGTGGCACGATCTGTTGGCAATCAACTAAACAAAAGGTAGTTTTTATGTCTACTTGCGAAGCAGAGTACATCGCCGCTTCGACGACGGCCACACAGGGGGTCTAGCTTGCGCGGCTGATGGAAGAACTTATCAGAAAATAAGGTGATCCACCAATGCTATACGTGGACAACAAAGCTACGATCTCCCTGATAAAAAATCCATATGCACGACCGAAGCAAGAACATAGAAATCAGATTTCACTACATCCGTGAATGTGCAGATCGGGGGCTCATCAAGATTTATTTCATTCGAACAAAGGAACAACTTGGAGACATCTTCACCAAATCTCTGGTGCAGGTGAAATTTGAAGAACATCACTCGAAGATCGGAGTTTAAACAATAGGGTAGATATACCATAGGACTTTATGAGGAGATTGTTAGATAAATCCTATTTTTAGGTTAAAAGTCATCCTTATTCTTTAGTTAAAGCCACACAATTAAAGTTAGTGGAATGACCACCTCGAGTAGAATGACTTTAATTAAGTTACTACTCCTTTCCATTTTTAGCATATAATTGTTATTTAAATATGTCAATCGAATGAGAAACAGATCATCGGTCTTCAGTAGAATTTGAAATACGTTTGTCTCTTTCTTGTGTTTTTCCTATTTTTTTTTTCTTCCTCCAACAATCGACTATTTTTCTTCCGACAATTTCCTCAAGGCAAATTGCTCAATCATCAAGTTGTTCCTTCCACATTTTTATCGGCTCGACAATCTTTTGCAAAATGCCCCACTTTACCACAATTATAACATTTGTCAGAGTTACAATCATTCGCATAGTGACCAAATTTGTGACATTTGTAGCACTCAATGTTGGAATAATTTGATAGGCCGCCTCTTCCCTGATCGCGTCCTCTTTCACGCCAATTTACTTGGCTCGACTGTCCCTTCTCATTATAGTATCCTTCCTGACTTTTTCCTTGACCACCGCAACCATTTTCACGACTTCCATGGCCATGACCTCTACCTTAAAAAATTTTGAGAATAGAGTACCTTTTCATCTTTGATTGACACCTTGGTTTAAAGTGCTTGATCGAGTGTTTCCTCCTTCTTCTTACGTTGCTCGTGCGCCTCAAGAGAATCGACGAGCTCGTCGACTGTGAACGTCGCTAGGTCCTTTGACTCTTCTATCGTGCATACAACGTTCTCAAAATTGTTGGTTAATGATCTCAAAATCTTCTCCACAACTTGCGTCTCGGTTAACATTTCTCCATTTTGATTGAGTTAGTTTACCACAGTCTGTACACGCATGATGTAGTCAGATACACTTTCCGACTCCTTCATCTTCATGCTCTCCAACTTGCCACGAAGAGTTTGGAGACGCACTTGCTTGACTCGGTCGGCTCCTTTGAACACTTTTCCTAAGCTGTTCCACGCTTCTTTTGAAGTAGTTGCACTGACAATTTTCTTAAAGCCCGACTCATCAACGGCTTGGAACAACATGTATAGTGCCGCCTTATCCTTTGATTACACCTCTTTCAACGCCTTGTTTTGTGCCACCGTATAACCCGTGGTATCTTTTGGTTATTCGAAACCTTCTTCGACCACCTTCCATGCATCTTGAGAACCGAGAAGAGCTTTCATTTGAATGCTCCAATTCTCGTAGTTTATCTTCGTTAGTCGCGGTAGCAGCATTTGACCCATCACATTCGTCATTAGCTCTTATACCAAATTGTAAAAAGCCAAAAAGAAACTCTTAGTCACACTATTTTTTTTTTCTATGAGTGGAGAGACAAAACACTTTATTTTTTCTGAAATAACATTTTTCTATTTCTCTGTTTTATGTCTTTTTCTCTACTTAAAGGCTAGAGATGTCGACAGGGAGGGGAAGAGGAGAACTAGTTTTTAGGGAGTGGAATTAGTTAAAGAAGTTGTTGCTGATTTGTAGCAAAAAAATATGTTATTTTTTATTATATAAGGAAAATGGTGTGAGTGAGTAAAACACCATAAAAAGAAGATAAAATTAATTTGTCTCTCGCTCCTTCTCCCCTTCTGTTATTTTCTTTAATTGGTACAAGATCAAGGCCTGTTTTCAATCATGTCTCACTTAGAGATTGAGCGGTCAAGAAGAGAGAGAGATCAAACAATGAGACAAGAAACAAATGATAGGAGCCAAAGCATCGGTGCGATAGAAGATGGTGCCTCAAACGAAGTGAGTGTACGGATTCAAGAAAAGGAGGGATCTATCACACTCAAATACCCGATATTGACAAAATGTAACTATGCAGCTTGGGTGATTAAGATGGAGGTATTTATGATGACACAAGGTGTTTGGGAGGTAATTGAGTCACCTAAAACAGTAGATAACCGCAAAGATAAGATGGCCTTAGCAGCTATTTATCAAAGTATTGAAGAAGATACGTTGCTATAGTTGGGTGCCAAGAAAATGGCAAGGAAGCCTGGATCATGTTGTAAAAAAAAAAAATCTAGGTTCGGAAAGAGTGAAAGAAGTTAGAACACAGACTCTAGAGCAGAAGTTTGAAGCGTTGAGGATGGGTGATTCAGAAAGTATTGATGAGTATTCTAGAAAACTCACCATTATTGTCAACAAATTGAGAGGCCTTGGCAATGCTGTGGATGATATCCAAGTAGTTAAGAAACTTCTACGATCCACCTCTGCAAAGTTTCTTCAAATCACTTCAACGATTGAGGAGTTCAATGATCTCAAAACGAAATCTGTTGATGAGATTATTGGATCACTCAAGGCACATGAAGAAAGGTTGCAAGGGTTTGGAGAAAAAAATGAAACCGTTCTCCTCACTCGTGCAGAATGGAAGGAACGAGAGAATGCAAAATCCTCAAAGAAAGAATGGAAGGATCAAGGCAGTTCCAGAGGAGGCAGGGGATGGGATCCTGGAAGATGGAGAGGCCATGCGAGAAGTGACTGGCATCGAGGAGATGAAGGAGAGTTACAAACTCAGAAGAAGAAATTCGACAAAAGTAAAATTAAATGTTACAGGTGTCAGCAGATGGGACACTTCGCATCAGAGTGTTCCACAAAAGACGAACAACTCAACTTGATAGAGATGCAAAAGGATGAGGAGTCTTTATTGCTGATGATAGAGCCGTGTGAAATTAAAACCATACATGACAAAGAGCCTGATTTTGTGATGTTTAATGAAACTATAGTGCCGCCACCAGCCAATATTGGAGCTGAAAATTCCTGGTACCTAGATATTGGAGCAAACAACCACATGTCAGGAGAAAGGAGAGTGTTTCGTGAGCTCGACACATCTGTTGATGGAAAGGTACATTTTGGTGATAACTTTGTAATAGACATTTGTGGTCGAGGAATAGTGCTCTTCAAATGCAAAACCGATGAGCACTTGATCTTATCGCAAGTCTATTACATACCTAAACTCAAAAGCAATATAATAAGTTTGGGACAACTGGAAGAGTGGAAATAAAATTGTCACAGAGGACAGTGTGATGAAGATATATGACAGGGCTAAGAGCCTGATTATTATGGTGACCAGAAAATCCAACAGATTGTATGTAGCAAAGCTGAAACTTACGGGTCAGGTGTGTTTAATAGCAAAAATTAGTTTTTGGTTAAAAATGACAGACGGTTGGTTATAAACTTGTTTTATTTATTTATTTATTTATTTTGCTTCATAAGTTTTTGGTTAAAAATGGTTGTTTTGTATTTATTTTATTTTTGTTGTTCATTTCTCCATTAAAATAAATAAATAAATAAAAGCTAGAGATATCATGAGGAAGAGTGAAAGTAGTGGAAGAGTGGAACTAGTTTTTAGGGAGATATCGTGAGTGGTTGCTTATTTGTAGCAAGAAATTTGTTATTTTTTTATTATACAAGGAAAATGGTGTCAAGTTAGTGACATACTACAAAAAGAAGATATGTTTAATTTGTGTCTTTGCTCCTTTTCTCCCCTTCTGTTATTTTTTACTTTCAATTGGTATCAGAGCTACAAGATCAAGACCTGTTATCAATCATGTCTCACCTAGAGATTGAGGGGTCAAGAAGGGAGAGAGATAAAAAAATGAGATAGGAATTGAGTGACATAAGCCAAAACACCGGTGCGATAAAAGATGAGGCCTCAAACGAAGTGGTGTAGGATTCAAGAAAATGAGGAATCTATCATACTCAAATATTTGATGCTGACAAAATGCAACTATGCAGCTTGGACGATTAAGATGGAGGTATTTATGATGGCACAAGGTGTTTGGGAGGCAATTGAGTCACCCGAAACAGTAGATAACCGCAAAGATAAAATAACTTTAGTAGCTATTTATCAAAGTATTGGAGAAGATACGTTGCTACAGTTGGGTACCAAGAAAACGACCAAAGAAGCCTGGATCATGTTGAAAAATATGAATCTAGATGCAGAAAGAGTGAAAGAAGTTAGAACGCAAACTCTCTGGCGGGAGTTTGAAGCGTTGAGGATAGGTGATTCAAAAAGTATGAATCTATGCAGCCATTAAAAACTGGGAAGTACATCACATGGATGTGAAGACAGCTTTTTTGAATGACGAGTTAGAAGAGAAGGTGTATGTTGTTCAACCAGAAGGGTTCGTTGACAAGGAAAATCCAAACATGGTATTAAAACTACGTAAAACCTTGTATGGATTAAAACAGGCTCCAAGGGCCTGAAATTTTAAACTTGATCAATGTTTGCAGTCACTTGGTTTTGTTAGATGTCCACAGGAATATGCTCTCTACAAGAAAATTAATGGAGTTGAAGCAATGATAATCGGTACATATGTAGATGACTTAATCATAGCCAGCTCAAACAAACAAGTTATAGCTCAGTTCAAGGAAGAGATGCACTAGGGATCTGAGATGAGCGATCTTGGACTTTTGAGCTATTACTTGGGTATTGAGGTACAACAAAGCAGTGAATCAATCACCTTATGTCAGACCGGATATGCAAGAAAAATCCTAGAGAAGCTAGGAATGGGGGAGTGCAATCCTTGTTCGATTCCCATGGAACCAAGAATGAAGATGAACAAACATGGGAATGGAGAACCTACGGTTGACAAAACACTTTACAGAAGTGTTATTGGAAGCTTACGCTATCTGGTTAATACCCGGTCCGACATAGCCTACTCAATTGGTGTGATGAGTAGATACATGGAGACACCAACAACTTCACATCTCACAGCAGTAAAACAAATATTGAGGTATGTGAAAGGTACTCTAAGTTTTGGTTGTGTTTATAAGAAGCTATCGAATATGGAGCTGGTAGGATTTAGCGACAGTGATATGGCTGAGGATATTGATGATAGGAAGAGTACAACTGGAGTGTCGTACTATTTGGGAGTAAATCCAATAACCTGGGTATCACAGAAGCAGAAGGTGGTGGCTTTGTCGTCATGCGAGGCTGAATATATAGCCACAACTGTTGGAACGTGTCAAGGAGTATGGTTGGACAGGATTTTGAGTAACATCAGTCAACTGCAAGTAAAACCCAAGCTTAATGTTGACAACAAGTCAGCTATAGCGTTGACGAAAAATTCTGTTTACCATGATCGAAGTAAGCACATTGATACCAGGTTCCATTACTCGCCAGTGTGTGCAAACTGAAGCTATTGAACTGGAATATGTGAACACAGATGAACAGTTGGCGGATATTCTGACAAAGCCATTAGCAATGTTGACTTCTGGCAATTGAGAGGAAAATGTCGACGGAGTAAAAAACGGCCGAAGGAAAACTCCTTCGAAGAAGAAAATAACGGAAAAAAGGAGGGAGAAATATTTGCGCTGAAGACCCGATTATTTCATTTCTCATTTAGTTGGGATATTTAAATAACAAATTATCCTAAAAATAGAAAAGTAAATGACAACTTAATCAATGCTCTTCCACTCGACCTGTACTTCCCACTTACTTCAATTTTGTGGGTTTAACATAAAAATAGTTACTTAACAAAAATAGTTAACTAAAAATTAGGAATCACATTTACTCTGTAGGTATTTATCTAACAATCTCCTCCTAAAGCCCTATCGTCTATCTACCTTATTTTGTTTGAACTCTGATTCGAGCCCTATGGCTCGATGTCCCTAGCGGCATGTCCTCTAGACTCCACGTCTTGTTCGGCCACCTCTTCTTCGAGCTGGCGCGCCGCCATTCCAGGTGGTTCACCTCTTCCCAGTAGGTCTTCCATCCTTCGGTACCTGACCACTAGACCATCATCGTGATCGGCATCTAGCGTCGAATCCACAGTACGTGGTGTTGTGAACTCCACTGGTTTAGGGGGTGCAGCTAGAGTTATGGTTGGGGTTGGCATAGGCGTGCCCGGTGTAGTTGCTGGCGATGGTGACGATTCTCGATGCTGTGATCCTCCTTCTCCCAGCTCGGTGACGAGGTACTCTACCGTGAATTGATTTGGATTTTGGTCTGCCTCGGTCGCGTCGTTCCACTGCCAGAAGGTGGTCTTGTCAAAGATGATGTCACGCAACACGTGAGCTCGCCCCTCCACAAGATCATAGTACCTGTACGCCTTGTTTTCGGGTTCGTAGCCGATGAAGACGACCTTCAGCTTTCTAGGATCAAGCTGAGCGAGGTGGGGACATGCTTCCTTCATGAATGCGATGCAACCGAACATTCAGAGATGACATACCGTTGGCCTCTTGTTGTACCAGGCCTCGTGTGGCGTCTTCCCGTCGAGGCGTCGCGTTAGCGACCTATTGAGGAGGTAGACGATCGTCATTACGGTTGGGAATAAACTTAAATGAAAAAAAGAAAGAACGAAGGTAGTTTCTATTTTTATTTTTAGTTAATGTGGGTTTTAAAATTAAGTCAAAGGCCAAACATTTTCTTTCACGAGCACTGGTTTGATGGGTTAGAAAAAGTGGGATTCTTATGACCATTTTTAGCTTTAGAAAAATTATAAATACGTTTTTGTTTCTCATTCTAACAGCAGAGAAGAGAGCAAAGAGCAGAGAAAAAGAGCCAGAGTTACAGAGTTAAAGTAAAGTTTAATAATGGAAAAGGGTTTTGAGCATTTCTTTGTCTCCTTGTCTCTCCCCTCTCGACACCTCCCCTTCTCAGCTTCGTGAGAGTTATTTAAACAAGTTGGTTTCAGAGCGAGCGTTTATTTTCTACAAGTTAGTATCAGAGAAAATTTTATTTTTCAACAATTACTGCCTCTCCCCAGAACCTCTCAGACATCCCAGCCGTCATCAGTAATGACCTTGCTATCCCAACGATGGTTTGATTTTGGCGCTCCACCACCCCGTTCTGCTGGGGGGTGTAGGGCGCCGTTAGGTGCTGCTGTATGCCAAGCTTGTTGCAGTACTTACCGAAGCTCGCTGAGGTGAATTCTTCGTCTCGATCCGTGCGCAACACTCATATCTTCTTCCGCATTCGACCTCTGCTCGTGCTTGAATGCGCTTAATCGTCTCTGTCGCCTCACTTTTCGCTTGCAGCAGGATCAGCCACATGAAGCGGCTTTTGTCATCGATCAGCAAGAGGAAGAGGGTCTTGCTGCCTAGGGTCGCTGGCTTGATGGGCCCGTAGATATAGCCGTGCACGAGCTCCAACGGCTCAACGGCGCGGTAGGCTGCCTGAGAAGGAAAGGGGGTTCGCCTTTGCTTGCCGAAGAGTGGAACTAGTTTTTAGGGAGTGAAATTAGTTAAAGGAGCGGTTGCTGATTTGTAATAAGAAATGTGTTATTTTTTATTATATAAGGAAAATGGTGTCAAATTAGTAAAACACCACAAAAAAGAAGATAAAATTAATTTGTGTGTTGCTCCTTCTCCCCTCCTGTTATTTTCTTTCAGAGTTGAAGGCATACAAACTTTACGATTCATTCTCACATAAAGTAATTGTTAGTAGAGATGTGAGGTTTGAGGAAGAAAATGTCTGGAATTGACATAAAACTCATAAAAAAGAAGTTACAGTTGATCTAGAATGGAGTAGTGATACCTGAGGTATACAATGATGACAAATGTGAGTCAGCACAAAAACACTCATCTGCTGATGCTGAAAGAAGAATTAAGAGGTCACCAAGATAGATGGATGACATGAGAGTGAATTAGGTTTTTCTAAGAACGAAGATATTGCATATCTAGCCTTGTTTGCAAGAGGTGATCTTGTTCATTACACAGAATCCGCCAAAAGCTCTAAATGGAGGAAAGTTATGGATGCAGAAATACAAGTCATTGAAAGAAATGATACTTGAGAATTGACAGAACTACGTGCTGGAAGAAAGAAATTCGGTGTTAAGTGGATCTTTAAGACAAAGCTCAAAAACAATGGAGAGGTTGATAAATACAAAGCATATCTTGTGGCAAAGGGATATGCACAACAACATGATGTTGATTATGTTGAAATCTTCGCACCTATAGCTCGGCTTGATACAATAAGAGTGATTACTTTTCTTGCATCACAAAAAGAATGGACAATTTATCAACTAGATGTAAAGTCAACCTTCTTATATGGAGAACTAAGAGAAGAGGTCTATGTTGAGCCGCCACCAGGATATGAAAAGAAAGGCAATGATCATAAGATATACAAACTAAAGAAGACTTTATACAGATTGAAACAAGCTCTTAAAGCTTGATACAGTCGAGTAGAGTCTTAATTTGTGAAGCAAGCCAAAAAATGTCCTTATGAGCACACTTTGTTCTTAAGTTTAAGTAGTCTATGATGGATGAATTTGATATGACTAATTTTGAAAAGATGAAATATTTTCTTTGTTCTTAAGTTTAAGTAGTCTATGAGGGATGAATTTGATATGACTAATCTTGAAAAGATGAAATATTTTCTTGGTATTGAAGTTATGCAAATCTCAAATAGAATTTTTACTCTTTTGTGTATATGCATAGGAGGTGTTGGAGTGGTTTGGAATGAGTGAATGTAATTCAGCTCCCGATCCTATTGTTTCACGTAAAAAACACACTTTATAAACCGATAGTGGGAAGTTTGATCTATACGACCAAATATAATGTTTGTGGTTAGTCTCATACATGGAACATCCAATAGAATCTCATCTAAAAGTAGCAAAAAGAGTGTTGAGATATTTGAAGGGTACTAGCAATGTTGTATAGGGCGGGAGAAAATGAAGAGTTGAGTACTTTTACAGATAGTGGTTATGTGGGTGATATAGAAGATCCAAAGAGCACTTCAGGCTATTAAGTACTGGAGTTGTTTCATGATTTCAAGAAAACAACTTGTGGTGACTCTATCTACTACGAAGCAGAATTTATTGCTACAAGTTCTTGTGCCTGTCAAGCCTACTACAATTTTTTTTTGTGATAATAGTTCAACCATTCAATTTTCTAAAAATCCTGTTATGCATTATTGTAGCAACATATAAATGTTTGTTTTCATTTTCTTCGAGAGTCGTTAAATGAAAGAGTTGTGAAGATAGTTCATAGACATCCTGAGAAAACCTTTAAAGATTGATATTTTTCTAAAGATGCGTGGTATGTTAGAGTTTGAATCACATCTCATCATCTCTCTGAGAGAGGGCTGAGAAACAAGAGAGAGAGAGGAGTGAGCTATTTACTGGTGGCGAAACTACTACGTGCGACAGTCCCACATCGTAAGGGATGAAGTCGCGGAAAATCGAAGGTGTTGGGCTTGCATGCGCGAGGAGATGAAAACAAGAAAGGGCTGGCAACTCAAATTTTAAATGAAAAACATATCATTTTTGTAATTAACACCAAATAACCTTAGTTCACTTAAACAACTCCTCAAACTTCTAATTTTTAACCTCAAATTTTCTCCACAGCTTAATTTAACTTCAATCATTCATCATATCTAACCAAAATATACAGAAATATTGGTACTCATACACAATTAAACAACTCACATAGGCAAGTTAATATACATTATAATATATAGATACTGCTTGTTCTTGTAGTTCCTTGTGTCGCATTCTATGTAATATAATATATAACTAACTAGAAGAAGGAAAAAAAAAAGGTACCTGGAGGATAACTTGTACTTATACATGTCTATATCATATTGTAGCTACGCTAAAGAAAGGGTATGCAAATTAAGGCCTAAATTTTCTATAAATCTAAGCTAAGCCATTTCAAACACTTAATGCAATGGTTCACGATTGTTGATTGGTGGCTTGCGGTGACCCCAATCCTTATAATCTTTGTGCATCAAATTGGCTATCTCTCTGGCTGCCTTCACAAGCCTTTGAGTTTCTTCCTCCCTCGTCGATACCCTCTTGGAGATGCTTGAATTCTTCCATCTTTTTGCCTCACTAGTGTCCTGCACAACAAATGTGAGCTTAGAATTGAAGTGGGGAAAACAAAATTGAGAGAGGGAAAGAGAGAGAGACCTGATGGTTAAGTTGAGAGGTTTGATGAAGCTTGTTTGAACGCTTTGTGTTTTGTCCTGCATGAAACCATATGAATTGCTAAATACTTACAAGCATTGATTTTGAGTACTCTTTTTGTTGTTTGATGATATTACAAAATATTATATGTATATTTGGACCCATTTAAGTAGCTAACACAAAACCAAAAAAAGATCCTATAAAAAGGGGTGTGATTAATTATGTTTAGGAGGGTGGTGTAGAGGCCCTTTATAATCTGCACCAAATGTTACAAAGCCAGCAACATTGAGCTTCCTACCACCATTCTTACAATTTTTTACACTACCAACTCCAAAATCACCCTTTTCATCTTCCAAGTTACAATTTTTGACACCTGAAATTCTTGAGCTTTCTTGATCTTCTTCTTCTTCTCTCTCATCATTTGTAGTACTCTCTCTCCTCATTATCCTCTTTATTGCCACTCTCATTCTTCCATTCCCCATTTTCCTCATGTTCATGGCATCAAATCCCACAAGCGTTTCCTCCTAAAAATAAAAAATAAAATGATTAGAGTATAGGTTTTCGAAATTGTAAAATTAGTGAAAGAGAGGTTAATTAATCACCTTTTGAAGAGAGGATTCAGAAAATTGAGCTCCAATAGACAGCAATGGTGCACCAATGTGATCTACAAAGCGGGAGATTTGAGAAAAAAAAGTGGATTTTTAAGGAAAGAATAAAGAAAGTAAGTTGTGTAATACCTTGGAGAGCATGAGAGAGAGAGAGAAGGAAGATGGGTAAGATGAAGAAGATGGTGGTGATGTTCTTCATCTTTGGGTCAGTTAAGGATTGTTTGTGATTTTTGGGTGTTTGATGGAAGGAGGGGAAAAGAGTGAGATCCATGAAGGGTTGTTTGTTTTATATAAACAGTGTTGTGTTGGTGAAAGGCAAAAGAGTCAAAGCTTTTCTAGGGTTTCCAATCACAAAAACCCTAAAAAAATACTTTTTTTGTTCTTGGTATCTGCATAAGCTTAGAAAATCTAAACAAAAGATGCAAAATAAAACAAAACCAAGTTTTTATTTATAAAAACAAATCATGAGAAGGGTTTTTTTTTTTTTTTTTTTTTTTTTTTTTTTTTTTTTTTTTTTTTTTTTTTTT